TAACGAAATATTCAATAGTGTGTACTGTTTTATCCTATTGTTTCTTTCTAGACAAGCCTTTCATACATCATATAGTCTATGTAGTGAAGAGCACAGATCTAGATGAGTGTGTTGAATAGAATCAATGTTTATTACGATCTATTCTTTGAATTTATCAGGATGTGTTGGTATTATCATTGTTACCGACATCAAGCAGGAGCGCCAACTAGCACGACGAAAAGCTCAACTGACACGACTAATCGTGAATGCATCAAGTTTTATTGAATATATTCGAAAATTTGAGCTAATTATTATTCTGGAAGAGTATAAAGTTGATAAGAAAACGTTATGGCATTAGTCAGATATAATACTAACGTTTGAGATAAACTGCAAACGAACTCTACAGTTCATCCTTTTTGCTTATGAATTATAATGCAGCAAAAGTTTTGAAAGAAAGAAATATTTTCTTATGTAATCCAATCGTATTTTTGTCTTAACAGGTAATTACAGTGAACTATGAAAATAATGTTGTAGTCTGTCTTTGAGTGAAACATCATGTTGTATTAATTCGATATATACTTTTAAAGAGAAGAACAGTGTATATTGTTCTGAATACACGTCACTACAAGAACCAAAAAATTCTTCATTTGCATTTTGCGAGCATTAACGTTATCTCGACAATATTATTGTCAAGCAATATTAACTGTTATGACTAGAAATGTGCGGAATCACGAAACGTGGTCTCAGTCTTGGTCTAGAAAAAACTATTCAAGAATTTATTTGTATCACATTTCAAATAATTCTTCAATGCTCAAATTTTTTTGGTCATCTTGCTTGAATTATGTTCTAATATTCATATGGTTTATAAGATAACTTGGTTAAAACCCCGAATATTTTGTTACAGACTTGAGTTCCAATCTGGCAATTTTCTTTTTGGTAGTCTCGTTCAAGTTTTATTTCTTGCTCTCACACATACCTAGTCGTGCCACCGTTATTTCTCAATATTAAAATTACTGCAGATTAATTTACGATTGAAAAGGAAAATTTTCTGTTATAAATGCTAAACAGATGCATTCAATCGATAGAATAACTACTATCAATATTAATACTCGGCTTGTATGCAATTGTCAAACTCCTTACATAAGGTAACAATCAACAACCATGGAGTGTCATTATTACTCTTTCATACAGTTATGCAAATATTCTTAGTACTGTATGTCTTTTTTAGTCATTTTTAACATAATTCAACTATTTTAAATTCAGAGCGCACTCAATAGAATTGATTTTATTGGACTTATGTGTTTTTATTTACATCAGGTCCTGTTATTGATATGCAAATCATTGCATAAGTGATCAAAATATTGATAATCATTTTAATCTATAAATATTTGACGTAGACATCAATTCCTTTAGTGGATGTTCAAGTCAGTATAACGCCTCTTATATGTGCAGTCAAAATTATTTAAATGTAATTAAACGATCAGACGGTACCAATGTATCATTTTGTTATTTGAAATAGTTGTTATTGGCAATTCAATTGGTGTATCAACGTTAGCAATCTGTCAATAAATTTTAAAGAAAATCTTTGTTCCACTGCTCTTACTCTAAATAATTACAATTTGCAGTGAAATTTGAATAATAAAATAACGATAAAAAAATTTAGAATTTTGAAATATAGACTATAAAAATGCTTCAAAAAACTATTGAACTTTATAGCTAAATACAATGTCTAGAATCATTGTTTTACTTGTCTAGAAACGTGCACATCTCATCTATGCCTATAAATCAATATATATATATATATTACTTTATATTTATTAAGATCATAATAAAAAATATATAAATAACTGGAAGAGATGTAAACTACAGTTATATTTAATATATCAGCAACATATACGGAAAGAATAGTTCAGAAAAAATGCATTCAGAATTCAATTGATATCTATTAATGACTATAGTGCATTCTATGCTACATAAATATATTGCAGACATCATTCATATTTATCATGTAATTTACAAAAATTAATGAGAAATATTTAATGACAAATGGTAGATTGTAAATATGATTAAATCTATATGTACATCACATTTTTTCTATATTGAAGGGCACGAGAATAATGAGGCCTGGATTCTTTTCCCTTAAGTGATTATTTCTTACGCTCTTGTTTTAGTTCTCTGAAAAATGACTCGTTGTACTGGTTTTGTTCTGTCTCGACATGCAATGCAGGTTGTGTGTCTGGTTTCATTTGTCGTCACATAACTCCTCATGGTGAATAAGTCATAAAAAAGAAAAATATTTACCTTATGTCTTTGACTTTATAGCCTTGTAAATTTTTGTTTTTTTGCTTATGATATTAAGACATAGTTTTTTAGTTCATGAAAGAATACACGAAGAAATATTTATCAACAAAGGCGAATATGCATAGATTATTTATCTGCATTGTTTTATTTTTTCTCAAAAACAAGAATAATCTTACTAATATTCTAAGTATGAATTAAAACTTTTAATTGATGTTTTATTATTTCAATTAGAACTGCATTAGCTCATGCGGTTCGACTGTTATCGAATACAATTTATGTACTTATTTTAACTTTAGAATAGATATGTAGCTCGTATTCTATATATTCATACACCTAATTATACAAGAAAATTTATCAAAGCACAGTATATTAAAGGGAATGATTTCTTTTCCATTGAGACATTTTGGGCAAAAAAGAAAAATGGTTCCAGAAATCAATCACAATTATTCTTATGTTTATCAATTTTGTATATTGAGTGCAATAAACATGGATTACGTTATATTTCATTGTAATTATGTATCTTTTTCTTCGACTACTCAATGAAGAAACTGATTCACTTATTGCACTTGCACGACATACATTGGAAGATATTTTTAAACAAGGAGAAAAAAAATGATTAAAAAAATGTACCTAAATATTTTGAATAAACATGGATTTGACATGTCACAGTTAATTCAACGGATATATCGCATGATCCATATCTTATATATCTTAAAACAACTTGATAATGATGATAATAGTACTCGATTGATTGAAAAATGAAAAGAAGAAAAAAATATTGCAAGAAAAATCATAAGAATAGGGGTATAATTAACTATTTGTAATACTTTTCTTCTTCGACTTATTTACAATACTTTGCTTGTTTACCTTTTCACTAGAACTATCGAAGATCTTTTTGAATAGTAAATAGCAATCTCGAAATGGTGAAAGAACGAAAAGAAAAATAAATTTTCATTACAGTTCAAGAGCTTCCAACGGACAACAAGAAAAACAGATGAACTTTTTTTTGCCTTTTACCATATTGGACTTGACAATCTCGTTTTTATTCTTTTCCTTTTTTTGTGTGGTCAGTTTTGACATACATATAAAACTAGAGATATAAAGTTGGCTTGATGATACACTTCAAGAACACAACTAGTCGATGAACAAATTCTACCTTTGTTATTTCTGTTTAATTCAATTCATAAATAAAGAATTATTCAATGAATTATGTGTAATTTTTCTGTGACCGATCAATATCAAGTATCTGGCGGCCTGAATTAAGTATTGCTAACTATCAGGAATTATAATTGATGAAGTGAATGCACATAGCTCACAGACAAAATTGAGTTTTAGGTAAGAAAAAACTTAGAAAGTTTTTTATTTTTTGGAGATTTTGCCAATTTAACAATAAATTAGATGTGGAATAAAAAAACTCCTACTACATTGATATGATACGCTCGTCTATGTCATAGCCATAGATTTCATATATTATTTCAGATAATAATTATTCGATTAATGCCTGTTACAACTCGCACTGATGCATTAGGATCTCAGATCGTTGAAGACATCACATTGCTTGCAAACATAACATAAATGCTTTATTTGTCTTTTTCTCATATTAATCTGTTTTTTTTTCTTATTAAAAGCATGACTCACTCATATTCGAGCACATCCTGGATGCAAGCTATAATATGTATACATATATTCTGACAATATTCGTTCCAGGTCTCACATTTATTCTATATTAATATTGTTTCTTGATAGCTTGCGAAAGTTTACCCGACTTTTTGCAAGATATTCCCTGGAATTTCAGCAATAAGTGAACCTCCTATTCACGAGAATCACCACAGTGCGGTAGCTATGTGTATTCAATACATATTCACAAATTAATGTGTTCAAACCCCAGTACTATCAGTCATGAATGGTCCTGGACAAGTCATTAATACTTATTTGTCTCGGATTATCGGTCTGATAGTATGTTGGCTACGTGATGACGTACATCTGCTCTTATGGTTAATTAATGTGTATGAGAAATTTAAGAACTTTGGATCCGACTGACTTACTATCTAGAGCTACAGCTAATTATGATTGCAGAAAAGATAACGAGCCATTGAATCTACCACTCGGCAGCGCCCTATACCGTAAGATATTTAACGGCAGAAATATTCTTCCTTTCTATTGGCAAAAACCCGGTATCCATTTATATGAATAAACAAATCAATATGTTTACGTTTTGAGCATTAAATTCCGAGAGAATAACATTATTTTACGATGGGAAATATATAAGCGAAAGAGTTCTTCATTGATTTTTGGTTGGAACCTAACTCAATAGAACTTAATAACATAATATATTCATACTTTATATATCATCTATGAGCGAGGTCGAATTCGAACACAAATAAACATAAGTTTAAAAATTCTTTCGTTTGTTATTGGTCGAAGCTTGCTAAGACATACTAGATTTCAATTAAAGTTAAACATAACTTAATACAAATATATAAATCAGTTCTTTGCTGTCGTTATTTTCGAATTTTTCAAAAATTTTGTTTAATCTTGCTTTAATCCCAACTTCTCTTGACACTAATGTCTTAAAAATCGCTTTGCAATTACTTCAGAATAGATAAGACAAGAAAATGGAAATAACATCTAGTAAGCTATGTTGTTAAAATACATACTAGATCTGTTTTGTTTTTTCAATATTGGTTCTACGTTTTCTCCTATTACTATTGTAGATAAAAATGTGTAATGATGCTCTTGCATCAAATGAAGAAACTCCAAATCATATGATTGTTTGGCTTGATTTTCATATAGGAAGACGAGAAGATTATCAACGGTTAAAGGCTGCTTTCTCAAGTACAGCTAATCCAAACAATGTTAATCCAATAAGATTAATTGATAAAGATGATGATACAATTAATCGTACAGTAGGCTTTGAAGAAGTCAAGTTTGAAGGTGTCAATTTTTTATTAGCAGCATTCCCAAATGTTGAATGTTGTGTAGAATTTTTACAAAATAATCAAGATAAAAAAATCTTTTTCATAACATCAGGGCAAATAGGAAGAGCAGCTGTACCATTAATAATGCTGAAATGCAAAAATATTTTTATTGATCCGGTTACAAACGAACCGTATCAATCAATTTATGTCTTTTGTCATGACATTAACCGTAATGCTGATTGGATGAGGCAATATCTCGATTATCTTGCACCACCGTTTGTATTTGATAAAGATTTATTATTACGGTTAATACGTGATATAGCTGATTGTTTTGTTGTCGAAAGTAAACGTCTACTGGCAGCGAAGCCCCCAAACAATTCAGCTGCTTACAATCGTCTTAATTGGGCATATACACTCTATGATCGATAGCGAGTTATGGAACAAGACCCATTAAGAAAAGAATTCAAAGAAGTCAACGATCTTCTCTCATCAGTGGAGCTGGAAATGAAACGTTCATTATCCGACGATGAAAATTAAATTGTTGATGGATGTCTATTCAATGAAAAAACTTTTTTTCACCAAAACAAGAAAAGCATGCTTCAGACATATATTTATTTTTTTTTTGTGAAACTCACACATATTTTCGAAGAAAATATAATGAATGTAACTTTAAATCGAGGTTTTCACGGCTCCTTTTCTAGACTCTAGCAACCAAGGTGAGAGATGAAAAGTCAATAGTCATTGGGTACATTCTACTAGCCACGAAAAATGTCGTAATATCAATAGAAGCGCTTAGATCATTCTATAAATCTAAGATTCCTATTTCAGACTCGTACTCGTCTCAGTATTTCGAGTTTTGAGGTTTAATGCTACGAAGAGATCTTATCATAGATGCCAAATAGTAAGACAGTTGTGGTATTGATCTAGCAGAACGATAATAGGATAGATATAGAAAAGCATGAATTAACTGAATTTAATGTTTAGGCAAAACTCAACAATATATGTCCAAGTTTGTCGAAAGAAAGGATGATGTGCTCGAAAATTTACTGCACGATTAAATCAATGCACATAGAAGACTAATATGGTGATTGAACCGACAGAACGAAGAATAAAATGATATTTGCAGTTTCGTGTGACATGCATTGTATATATTATCATTAGCAGAAAAGAACTTATGTGTTGAAGATATATCTGGCAATACAAATGAGTTTTTAGTATAAGAGTGTTGAATGAATCTAATAATTTGATAGAATAGGAATTCTAAATGTAAACATTTTCGTAATGATAAAATTTCAGAATGTAAGTATCAACTATAAAAATTGTTATAATTTTCATGCATTCATTTATTTTAACCTCTCTCACAGTATGTCATGTTTTTTATGAGTCATCATTTACTCTCAAAATATGATATTATGTCGATCGTAATGATTATATATTTTTCATTCAAAGCTGTGGACATGCTATCGAATCGTAGATAAAAAAAGCATGAATAATCAGTTTTCTTTTTCTTTTGTGATCTCTTTCTAAAAGGACTTCTTTTATGTTCTGTATTGGTATTTCGTTTAAGGGGGAACCCCCCCTTCGAAAGTCGTTTTTTCCTTGAAAAGTCGATTTTTGGAAAAACACATCTTCTTGTAGCCCCAAGTGTCCTCTTTCAGAATATGTATAAACTATATAGGAATGGAACATATTTTGCCCAATTTTGGCAAGTTTACTGGACGCTATAATGGAAAATCGGCTGTCTTGTTGATTTTCTTTCTTAATTATCGGTAACTAATATCGTTCTACCTTCTTTATTAGCACTCTAAAACCATTACCGTATCGAGTAATCATGTTTTGGATGTTGCAGTCTTATAAGAAAGGTTCAAAATTAGGCTATTTTTCGAAAAGATGGCGCTACAGTGAACTTGGATTCAGAAATTAGCTTAAGAAATCGGTTTATTTTTTTCTTGAAAATACTACCAACTGTAAGAACTTTTTGTGCGCTTTTCAGTGATATATAATATGCTCGAATTCTCTCTGCAAGAAGATCATCAACTACGTCGCAATGTTGTTATTCGTTTTTCTCAGCTTCACTTTTTTATCGTTTTCTGACCATTGCGGAACATTTTCCCAGTTCACCGCTTGATGTACTCTGCTGATTTTTATTTATTTAAAAGATGAGACTTTTTTCTAGAAATTGTCGGAACAGATTTTCAAAATATATCTCCATTGTTTAGATATTTGAAAATCTTTGAAAGTGCTCAAAGCAGTTTTTGCGATTTTCGGTTTAAAATGATTACTACAATTGAACGAAAACGAATTTCAAAAAACTGTTCCTACAATTTCTAGATAAAAGATTTTTCTTCATTTTGAAACAAAGTTCAACATTTTTCATGCTACCGCGCATCGGGAAAATGTTCCGTGCCAAAACCCCCGTTTTCATGAGTAAATTGAGTATAGCTTCTTAATTATCAAAAATGATTGGTTGAAATTTTTATCAGATGCTAGTTACATTAGCTTTTCTATTTCCTGAAATTTTCATCGAAATCTGTTGTATCGTTTAGAAGATAGGTTTCGGAGGGGGGGTTCCCCCTTAAGGGCAGACAAAAAGAGCTGTTTTTCTTTTGTATAGAAAAAGAAAGGAGAAAAGATCTTCTTTAGTATTTTTGTTCTTCCTTTATTGGAGAGAGCTATAATTATTAGATATTCTATGATACTTATACTTGAAATTTACACTAATGAATATTGACAAACAATACTAACAGTGTGATAGTAAATTACTCAACGAAGATATTGTGATAATTATAACAATATTGAATGATTAACAATCTATGTAGAAATTATTGTATCAGTGCAATGTTGTTGTTTATAGAATTTCGAATGGTATGCATTGACACTGCCTATGTGAAATCATTGATGAACCTTTGATGACATGAAAATATCTGAATCAAATACTAAACATAGATTATCATTCAGAAAGTTTAATTATTTATAAGAAATCATCAAAAAACTATTCTAAACAATAAATTATTTAATTAAATATCGACATATAAGACTCTACACATATATAGGTTTCAAATAATATTGATTTATAATTTTACATAAAATCATTTGAGAGATATTTTCTGTGCTGAACCAGACCGGTTAGCCACACAATAATATTCAATATAACTAAGACTTTGGTTTTCCAGTAGAATTTCTCCATCATGTTTCACATTTTAATCCTACAGGAATGACATTGAACTATTTTTATAGAATGTTCCAAAACAAATAATACAAAGACACCTGAGTAACTTTATTATTGCATTTAAGGTGACTTCTGGAAAAAAGATTGTTAGAGCAACCCCTTTGAGGCTGAAATGTAAAATTCACGTATGTTCTTCAGCTTCATTATACTAATACAAAATACAATAGCTGGTAAATCAAGAACTTCTTACGTTTTATTTTCTGACGGACACATTTCTCTGTTCGTTGTCATTGTTGGTATTCGCTCGTTATTTTTCATTTTCGTATTATTTTCTTTTTATTTTAATATTTTTAATATGATAAGCATTGGACTAAATGGCAAATAAGACTTGCATATATAAGTTACTTAATGTTGGTTGTTAAGATCTGTAATGGTGGGGTGTCTGTAATGCGGGTCGCGTTGCTACGGTCTGTAACGGGGAAGGGCGGTGAAGGAGCCGCGAAACTTGCACTTCAAGCCCACACTCACTATTTTCTTCGAAAATATATGTGAATTCCACAAAATTCGGAGATTTGCGTGAGGTGTCAACGTATGTTAGTGAAAAAGGAACAAGAGAAATGTCTATTGGATGTGTGCTGTTCGGTTTCGTGTAGATGAATCAAATACAATAACATTTGATCAAGCATACTTCAATCAAGAGCAGAACATCGCATAATTCAATGTCTAAAATTTTTCACACTACAGAAACACTTTTCTTTATAAGTGTTACTTGATTTCACTATAAAAATAGTGACAGAAATACATATCATTTGGATCTTTTTATATTTTATTTTGGTCATGATAAGGGTTGAGCCCAAAGGTGTACGCATTCCTATCAAGTTTAGTAGCAACAAGTTAAACTTTGGTAAACGAAAACCACACCGACCAATATCGGTGAATAAGGACAAGTACAGACAGCCAAATCGTTCCTTGTCTGGTGCATATGGAGTGCTTCAAGAGAAATGGATAAATGATAATAATTACGTGAAGCCAAATAATTCACCCTATGTCTATGGACCAACTGGTCAATTCTGACCAAATAGTAATACTTATAGACAACAGAACAATTTACCGTACGTATATGGGGCTTTCAATCCAGAATGGACGAATAATTACAATCCATATTCGAATAATCTAGACAACTGTCGCCCATATATATGTTAGCCATTCAACTGTTCGTAATTTTTTGTTTTAGTTAAAACTGAAAATAAAAGAATATGGAGAAGCATATTGAATTCCTAAAAATGTGATTGCCCGAGAACCACAAGGTTTCACATTTCTGCATCCATACTCTCAGAATTTTATGTCAGTGTATTTGCTAGACATATAGCAATTAAATACAATATCCTTTTTTAAAGAAAATAAAAATGCGCGCATACGATTGAATAGGATGTGAACCTACTCCTTACTCATAACCATATTCACAGCGGCAGCAATACACCTACAGCCTAATTTTTGTGTCGTTGACTCATCATTCGACAGAATAATATATATAAGTTACTCAACACTACACTTGTGTTGTGTAATAATTTTCATATAAATTATTCTCTTTTGCTTTATCAACACAGGATAGAATAAAAAAATAATAATAATTCAATTGATACAGCTGACTTTTTCTTTACTATTTTAGTGTGACATCATATCGTTATTAGACCTGAAAGTTATGTACCGTCGATCTTTTTAAAAATTTTATTGTTTAGTTCGACAAAAATTTGACAATAGTATCGTACATACTTGTGTAAAATAAAAAAATAAAAAAAATATTGATTTTTATAAGTAAATCTTGGATAATGGTGGATATTAGTACTCAAACTGTTTCAAATACTGAAGGTAATTCACGAGATTTATTAACATTAACAAACGATGCATTTCTTGTTGCATTAATAAATAAAACAAAAATAGAACATGAAGACTTTCATTCACAATATAGAGATATTATTGATTCTGATCCAGCTGTTTTAGTAATTGGTAGATCTCTTCACAATCAAGTACGAAAAATAAGATATTTTTAACTATTTTATTTTGAAACTCTTTTAGCGTTCAACGGATAATCATAATCATTGTGATTCTTTTAATAAGAAATATGATGACAGACCTTCTAAACCTAGTTGTCAATGTCGAATTTGTTCTAATGATCAACAACAAATAAATATTGTTGATCAATTGATTAATCAACCACATATTCCCTATGCTTTATTACCAAAACATTTCAAGCCAAAACAGATTTCAAATGATTGTACTCAACATTCTCAACTGCAAAACTATTTGAAAGAAAATAATCAATGGGACAAATCAATGATTTATCGACACCGCATTCCTACTCATTATTACTATAAGCGATATAATAAGCATGATTATTCTTTATATTCCTGTCGATCATCTCAGATTCGTTCTCGTATTCCACTGAATATTTTATCATCATATAATATCAATCAATGGCAAGATCCTTATGTGTATTCAGATCATTCTTTATTTTTTCAACAACAGCAACATGATAGAATTCGGTAAACAAAAGAAACAACTATGTTTCTTGTTTTGTTTGATTGAAGGTTTTTATGTTATTTATAGGCGATACGATTATCGTTGTATTCGTGATGATCATCGAATAAAGGCTTCCATATGACAAACACATGATGATGAAAGACGAAAACAAAATAAAATCAATGATATAAACTATTGAAAAGAAAACCATGGGTTATTGACAAATAATTTGCCAAAATAAATAATTCTTCTCTATTGATTTTTATCCAACACATTTTTTCTATATCTGTTTTTGTCTTTTTAATATTCTGATTTAAAAAAAGAATACATATATTCCCTTTAATTGTATGAATCGTAGGGTTTAAGACTTTATTTCTTTAAAGGTGAACTTCTAAGTATTTGAATATAACATGTGATGCGATGAATTCAGCAAGTAAATATCCTCGATTTTTTTGCTTGTTATCGGTTCTTTTCGAACTGACAAAAGAAAGACTCATACGTAGATGATAAATGTTATCAACATTCAATTAGAATGAATTGCAATATCGATATTGGGTGTGAATATAGGTGGGTGCTCATGTAGAGCAAGGGGAAAAACTGATTCACAATGATTTCTAATGGCTTTTCGTAATTTCTAACAACAATAAAAAATTAGTGTTTACTTTATGTCATTTATAGATATTTCTCTAATCTGTTAATGTTTCTAGAATTAGGTATATTTATCAATATGTAAATTTTACTGAAAAAACGTATGATAAGGCTTAATGAGACTATATAATATTAAATATTACCATTGCTTTTTTATTTGAACAAAAACAGTTGAAAATATACATTGCTACTACCTTTAACCCACAATAAATGAATCAGCAGACCATCAACGTTTTAACTTTCTGTTAAAGTCAGCAAGCAGTTTGTTTATGAAGAAATTTAGGTGCATCATTAATTGTAAGTTGGTAGTATATTCGAGTAAATTTTCGTTTCACACAGTCGATTAGTCGTACCACGAGATTTGCAGATATTATAACTTTTATTCATTGTGTCAGAACTATCATGTAATACTATATCTCATCACTATCGTAACAATTTGTAAGATAATTAATCACACTATTATTGGTTTCATTGGCTAGTTCAGTATCAAAGCCTGCATTTACACTATCATCGATTGCTATTAACCAAAGCTGTCCCAGTTGCCACCAGATAGTGGTACTGAGATTTTGCATCCACCTTATTCATGCATTTTGTTACAATTGTTTGATACTAACTGAACTAAAAATATTGGTTATGTAGTTATATGCATTAAGAACACTATTTTTAATATAAGTTTTTTCGAACAATAATTGTGTTTCATGATATTGTCGATAACTGATGATATTACGAACAACATAGGTTTTTTTCTTTTATATTACTTTTTATGTTTTATGACGTACATAATTTACTAATTTAAGCAAGAAGCTAAAATTTATGTGTTAGGGTTCGCGCTCACGAAGAGCGACGAACACTGTTAATGATGTATATATTTTCTTCTCTTTGTTTATTCTATGAAAAAACCAATGTTTATATATGAACATGAAAATAAGGATAAAAGTAGAATAGAAAGGTTAATCAAAGAAAAATAAGAGCAATAGAAACGAAAATATCAAAGAAAAGGGAATAGATAGAATCGAGGTATATGCAGTTAAAATACACTGTAAAATCATGTCTGTCGAAGAAATATCTGGTATTGATCTAGCCGATCTGCATGTAATGTAGCAAGTTTGACAACGTTATAACCATATATTAAGAATTTCAGGAGAGACTTGCTCGCTGGAGACTAGTACAGCCAGATAAACAAGGAAAATGAGCATTTATTTTGATAGGAAAATGGGATTGTATCAGATCAAATATTGATGTTTCGTGGTATTTTTTCGTTTCTCAGGCGTTATATTCAAGCCGGATAATTGTGTGAGAATTATACGAAGATCCTTTTTTCCATTTTATTGACCCAGATACATCAGAATCAACAAATAAACATCACTGCTCATACATACAATATACGATCCATTGTATTTCTCGTTTTTTTCATATAAGTGAGTGGATCATTTTGCATAGTTTTAAATATGAAGCAACACATAATAATTGTTTTCTCGCGGAGTTTTATGATGATAATCTATGGCTTGGATAACGTCTTCTCATAAGGGAAAAAATACCCATGTGAGTCAAATAAAATGAAAACATTTTTATTAGATTCATAAAACTGTTCATCCCTCGTAAGGTCTTGAAGAAGAAATGAATCATTTGATTTATAGATTTAAAATTAAGAATTAAATTAAAATAAATTTATTGATAAATTAACATACAATACAGTTAATAAATTACATAGATAAAATAATGAATTAATAAAACTTAAAATTAAATCGTCATGTTTCGAAAAACGAAATTGTCTTCATCAGACATTAATGCACTATAAAGTTTTATATATCAAACTATATGCTTTTTCCTCTTTCTTTAGATATGGTTATGATGTTTAACATATGATAGAGGAACACTAAGAGTATGGCAGAACTATCTGCTCTTAGCTTATTTGGATAAACATAGGTATAGATGGTATGAGGCGATCTAACAGAAAAGTGGCTCTGAAGTCAATACCAACATCAGATCTAAAGATTTCGAAATTTTTTCATTCCACTGTTACCTTCTTCTTAAAATTCTACTCTTAGTCGTTGATGACGTACTTTCCTTTTTCTCCGATAATCGAAAATAAGTCAGGATGTCTAACATCACTAACCAAAAGTGTTCACACTATCCGTCACGATTGACCGTCTTTTCGACAAATGTCCTTCAATAACATATGAGCTGATCCAAAACGTGCTTACTTGCATCATACTTAGTCCGTTTAGTCTATTCTTTCTATCTAGACTCGCCAATAGAATAGATAAAGAAAAAAAATGAGACGAATGAGGGATTTAAACATTTGATCTAACGAAATGTAAACGTCAGTTTGAACGAACTGAACAGAAGAGTGACGCTTGTTCATTTGATATGTAATTAGAACTAACCAAAAAAAAGTGATTTGTCCAGCTCGAAATGCCTTCAATCGTGATATGTACCGAATATCTTAAAGCGTCTATTTTGTTTGGAAGTAATTATCGATACAATTAGTTGATATGGGTTTGTATAGAAACTGAAAAAGCAATCAGTTATAATGCAAATATTTTTTTTAAAGCATCTTTATCATCTTTAGCAATAAGTACTGGGTAATTCGGTGCTTTTAGAATATAGAGCAGATAATAGGATGATAAACATTTTGTTATTACTATTCAATTAAGAGTTTATTGATACTAAGGAGACAAATTAAAATAGACGCTTTAAAGTGCTGCAAAATTTTCAGACTCAAACTTGTTCAAATCTAATAGTCAAAACCATATGAAAACATGTTTTTTTATCTTACGTTAGTTAACAGTACGATGAAATCTACTACATCATGACTATGAAAATTAGAATTAATTCCTACATTTTTATTGATATGCACATAGATTGTTTTTGGTGCTTTTGTTTTTTTCTCTAACTAAAACACCAATAAGAAGAAAATTCCAAAATTAAGAAAAATGTCAAGGATAGGCAATATTCTTTAAAAAATCTACACTTTGACATATGTCATCATATTTTGAGTACAACTTTGCGATGCTATTGTTTCATATCAAAGAGTATATCAAGCACCTCTCAGAAGAGTAATTATTTGTACTTTTTTATAGTAACAGTACAACAGCTCTTGAAGGACAAAGAAGTAAATGAAAATAAAAAGCATTCTGATTACTTCTCAATGAAAATTACCTATTAATGTTCTTTGAAATTTCTTACACTGATAAGTAAATTAGAAATAATTTTGTTTAAGAGTAACTCTAATACCTTTATTCAATCATTTTATCGCATTTTAAATATGAATTCTGAGGATTTAAATTTTGAAAAATTAAAATTAAAATAAACTTTAATCATCATATGAAAAAATAGTTAATCTTTGTAATTATCGATTATTTAAAGTTTATTTTTGTTTAATTTTTTTGACAATACCAAATAATTTTCCCGGATGTCAGCAATGAGAAAAAGTTTTTTGGAAAAATAAAAAAAAAAATTTGAAGCTAGTCCAATTGAACTTAACAGAATAAATTCTATATTCTAAGGCACAAATATTTTATTCACGCCAAAAATTGAAAAACACTGAGTAAAGTTCTATTGAATAGCATTTTAGAATATTTATTTATATGTGGAAATTGGTCACTTGATCGTATAATCCATTCTGCTAGGCACATGTTAATTTGATATATTGTGCGCATGCGAATGAGTCATGCGCTAGGGCTTTTTGACCAAAAAATGACTACACATGATGTATCATCGTGACTAGAATAACAACTAGTATTTTTACCCCTTCTTCGCTCATATAGAGTAGCTATGGTATTTTATTGACAGAATCTTTTTCAGTCCTGTGCTTTTATTGACACAATAAATGCATGCTTTCTTTTGCGTTTTTTTCTACTTTTATTATTGGATTTTTCCAGCAGCTCCATCTAATATATTTAAAGTTCGGCTCAAGACCATTTCAATCATTATTTGTGACTGTTTCATAAAATGTCTCTACAAGACGTCGTAGTTATTTGGCTCGATGGAACATTTGAAGGAGACAACTATCAAAAAATGAAAGATGAATTTAATCAAAAAATTGGTTCGACAGCTGCATCGACATCTTCTAATGATATTGATAGTTTGATTTGTAAGGAAACCAAAGAAGATCTTATAACAAATGGTGCTCCAGTTATTACTGTTTCAACATCAGAAGAAGCATTTCGAGAAATTGAAAATCATTCTGAAGCAAAAATTTTCTTCATTTCATCCGGTAGTTTAGGTAAAGATATGGTGCCAAAAATTGTACGTCAATATCCTCTTATGCATTCGTTTTATATTTTTTGTTTTAAAATGACTAAACATGCTGATTGGGCATTAGACTATACTAATTGTCTTCAAATGTTCGATCATCCAATTGATTTATTAGTTCGACTTATGCGTGATATTTCGACATACTTCATTGAACAAGGAAAATTATATTTGGAAGTTAATGATCCACATAACGCATTAAAATATTTTAAACATGCTTGGAATCTTGAAACACGCGCAAATGAAAAAGATAAGGTGCCACCCAGAGATGAGCGAGCCGCGGTGTAAAACCGCCCCGTCCCGCCCCGCCCCGCCCCGCCGGCGGGGCGGTGCTAAAACTTGACGGGGCGGGGCGGTGACGGTGCATGACGAAATTTCGCGGTTTCCCCGCCTTTGTATAACCTTGATTTTTTAAATATACTCAGACCTTTAGAGACATCTTTTTAAAATTTTAAAATCTTTTCACAAAACTAATCAGTAAAAAAAGACTTGTTAGCGCAGCTCCAGAGGAGCTAAAATGTAGAACTCACATATATTTTTTTAATTTTTTGTCCTGATGCCTTATTTTTAAATTGTAAAATACCTTTTTTCCGAATACGTATGAAATCATTGATATATTATATAAAAACTAGAGCCTTTTATGCGCTGCTGAGGTCTGTAATGGTGGGGGTCAGGGTTACCAGATCGAAAATTAAAAAATCAGAAAAATTTTTCTAAAACTTGGGAAAGTCGGAATTTTTGTTCTCGAAATCGGAAGAAAATCAGAAAGTATTTTTCCATGCTTAAATAACTAGTCTATATATTTTCGATAGCTTCAATATCCTTTATCTTGCTTCTGTTCATCTTTTCGAAGCAATATCAGAAATGATATTTCATAAAGAATTAAAGAAAATATCAATTACACAATTTACTCATGATTGAGAAATCTACATAAGTAATTTGAACAGGATCACATTATTTTTATCAAAAATGCTATAACCAACTTGACGAAACAATAGAATCAGTATTGTAAATTCATACACACACATGCATTTCACAAAACTTATGCAAAACAAAACTAAGACTTATTCTGTATAATGTTCGTTTTTGTTCATACTTTTTTATTAGCTCGAATACTCTTCAAAATATCAGGTTGAGGTAACAGATATTCATAAAAATGTCCACAAGTATAAACAGAACTCATTCCGATTTTCAATTCTGCAACAGCTAAATTAGTACCCATACGATTATGATTAGTTTTATGATATCTGTGATGAAACAAAAAAAGCTCAGAAACGAAAATATTCTTAATTAACACTATAGTAAACGAACAGAGAAAGTTAGTTCATCGTGATAGAAAGCTGGATCTTAATTGTCTGTAAAACATCATAGTTTTATTGGAGGATATGCTTTCAAATCACTGCAGTGTGGTTTGTTGAGTTCATGAGGCTTCACTACCCGATAACTATGGTGAAATAGATCGCTATATATGTGTGGTGTCGTGTCATGGCTAAACTATTCTAGAATGTCCTAAGAACTTGAATTCCCAAATAAGACTTCGAAAACCGGAGAAAAATTAGGAAATCTGAAGGCGATCGGAAAAATCGGAACGTCGGAAAGTCGTTGGAGAAACTTTTAAAAAATCGCAATTTTTCCTGCCGTATCGAAAGATCTGGCAACCCTGAGTGGAGTGTCTGTAATGGAGTGGGGGAAGGGAGAGAGCCGCTAAACCTCGAACTTAAAACTTACAATCACTATTTTATTCGAAAATATACGTGAGTTCCACAAAATGAGTGACTGTATTATAATTGCCTTTCATTTTCATATATTTATTTTTTTCTATTTCGGAACGATGTTTATGCATTTAAAATATGCCTCTTCATCTCATGAAATGAAATAGCCATTATGAAAATTTAATGAAAAATTTGTCAATAAATAGTTTTTTAAAACATATTTTTGACGGGGCGGGGCGGGGCGGTGGCGGTTTCAATGCTAAACAGGCGGGGCGGTGACGGTGCGGAACTTTATCGGCGGTGCGGGACGGGGCGGTGGCGGTGCGACTTTTTTGCTGACTCGCTCATCTCTGGTGCCACCAAACACAAAAAACAAAGAAAAACATGTTGTTCAACTAGATTATCGCATTCGTCTCGATTTATTGGAAGGCAACAATGGACTTATTCGTCGAGCTGAAATGGCTTTAGACAAATAACTAAAAGAAAAACAGCTTAAACTGTTCACAAATACAAATATCAAGTTCTTTCAATGGTTGTTTCTACTAAACTATGTGTTCATGCTTTTTCCTATAAACATTAATCGTTTATGGGCTTATATATTATTGTGAATAAAACCTATCTAATGATGTTATTGGATCAAATAAAAAATACTAGATCATATGTTCATTTGACTTGATTCGACAAAACAAAATACTGAAAAATGCATGAGTCTTAGAAAAAGCCTATTCAAGCAAATCTAATCCAAAAGATGAATATCTGATAAAGTTAAACGACAGCGCTTATGATGAAGTGATTCATTCAGCAAGATAGACATCAGTCAGTACTAAAAATCTATGACTGCTATCAGTAGCCTACGCTGACGTTGAATATTGTGCACATTATGTTACAACAAAACTAAAGTGAACCACTCTTTTTCATTCAATCAAGATAGATAGGAATAGTAATTCTTTTATTAATAATAGAGAACAGTGAAGATATCTACGATGATCCAGCTACAAACAAACTATGCTAAGTAATTAGTGTCTTTTCTCATGAGGTCAACCACAACTGAGATTTCATTGAAAAAATAACTATATTAAATTACCGCTTTCGATATTGATGTACATGTAAATCTATAAGTAGGCATGATATGTAATATAACTAATTATTTTGTTGCCGACAGCAACTGTTTATTTTTAGCAAATGATGAAAATAATTCAGTTGGTTACAATCTTCTTTCTTGGATACATATACTTTGTAACTGATATTGAGTGATGGAAGAAGGTTAATTAATAAAAAAAAGAATTTGAACAAGTCGACAAGCTTCTATAATTAGTGGAAATAGCAATGAAACAATGATTATCGAGCGGTGCATATTACAGTTTTAATGAACTATTATTTTCTATACTTTTTGTATACTCAAAAAGTGAGTACACTCTAGAATCGGTCAGTATGTCCGTCCGGCCGTTTACACGATAACTTTCGAAAGGAGAGTCAGATCGCGATGAAATTTTCTACACAGTTCAATCTTTACAATATCTCGGTCGAGTTCGAAGATGAGAAGGATCGGCCGAGCCGTTCCTGAGTTATTACAAAAATACCCATTTTCCTCTATGGCTTCCTATGGGAAAATTGACCCATCGCCGCTTTCGTAAAAGACTTTTCCTATCATAGTCAAATAAAACCTCAACTATTATATACCATTCGATAGAGAATTTCAAGAGCTACAAAATGGTATATAAAACATTAAGAAACAAGAAGACTAACTCACCTATTGGTAAGATAAATAAGCGAAAATCGGTTCTGTATTTGTGCACTCTCCAATCGATCCCCAATTAGAGCTCTATCTTCCGATCATAAAGATGATAACTGAAGGTTTTTTGGCATGGAGAACTCGAATCTGTACTTCACTTGCCTCGAAGACCCATTGATTGAGAATTAACCACTAGAAATCAAGTTATAAGGAAAACGACTTTCTGAGACTAAGTTAAGCCGAAGAGTTCAAATCTGAGCTGTATACGCTCCCAAGTCCTATTGGTTGAGCAGCAGCCAACGGAATTCGAGGGTTTATAGAAAAGGTTTGCCAAGCTAATTTTTATATCCAGACATTCTAGGATGACCGATTTGTCTCATTCACTTTTTGAAGTACATAACTCTCGGATATAAATCCGAGATTTCCACATTTTATTTGTTTTGATTTCTGCTTTTTAAACATAAACATATACACATAAATATATTTCCTTGTAAATTTTTTTTCAAAGAACGATCAGCAGAGAGAATTAAGTTAAACAACATTCTTTTTTTGCAATGTCTTGTTTTTTTTCACTTATATCAAAATTTAGATATCATAGTAATTAGGAATTTTCATTTTTTATAAAAATATAGATTTAATACAATAATGTGTGACAAAAAAGAAAAGAAAAATAGCTAATCAATTAATTTTAGAAATAATATAATTCTTTTTATTTAACAAAACACATGAATTTTTTTATTGACTTCACCTTAAATCAAAAGCGTGAACTGTAATGTACTTGCTAAGTGAATTGTTGTTTGTATTTATTAGGACTGTAACCTTATTAAAATCGTAAGACATGTATGTATAAATAGGTTATTTTTCGTTTAAAAGCGATGCATATTCTTTCCAAGCAATAAAGAAAGACAATGGTGAATATTAAGAGTGATGACCTTTTCTCGTTTAACACTTTTTTTATCGAACTTTGTTTTGCGTTCTTTCCATATTGCTTTTTTTCCAACATAGAAAAAGAAATTGTTTTTTGCCACGATGTAAAACATCAGAACAGCCGTCCGTCGTAGTCGAAGACTCGTTATACATTGACAATTAAACATGATGATATCACCGACCCGTTCTGTGCAAGTTCGAGTGAAACAGAATGAAAAAAATTTGTTGGTAAATTCCAACCTAATTTTTCTTTCCAGCTATAAATGTTGTAAGGCATTTTCATTTAGTGTTCTTCGGTAAAAATAATTTTATATTCAGTAGTTAAGTTCTGTTTTTTGAAACTATTTAAATACAATTCTATTTTTTTCTGTGATTTATTGTAATTACGATTACTCCCGTATTATCAATATGGTTGAGGCAGAAATACAAATTCCTGAAAATTATGATTATCCTACTCCAGGGCATCTGATTATTTGGCTTGACACTCATATTGGTAGACCTAACGAGTGTAAAAAATTAAAAGAAGCTTTTGCTAGTAATATGGATCCACGAAATCAAACTTGGACAATGTTGACTGACCCAGATTATGATAATCTTCTTCGTAGTAATGAAGCTAGGCCAGTCCATTTTGCTGGCGTACCTTTTCTACTGTTGGCCTTTGATGATTTAACTAGATGCTATGAATCTTTCGAACAAAATAAAGATAAACATATCTATTTTATTACTTCTGGAACTATGGGCAAAGATATTATACCACGACTTATTGCAAATTATGAACAATTATTTAAAGATCCAATCACTAATAATTCTTATTATTCGATTTATATTTTCTGTGGAAATACAGAATATCACGTGGATTGGTTATATGAGGTTCGAGGCTACGTACAAGTATTTAATCATGAGGCCGATTTATTAGCACGCATGACACGTGACGTTGCTGATTATTTTGTTGAACAAGGTCGTCATTGTCTCCAAAATGCCCTTCTTCGTTACAAATGGTCAAAAAAACTCTTTACTCAATATTCTAAAATGGGAGAAATTTGTAGACAAAATATGCAAGATGTCGAAAAAATGATGGCAGATATAGAAAAAATTCTACAACCACACATATCTAATCCTCATGTTGATGGAAATAACCCCAATGAGAACAACTATAATGATGATGATGATAATGATGAACGACCTAGTGAACCCTGCAGCTGACATTTGACCATTAACTTTTATTTTGGTTTTTTTCTGTCATTCATGCGATAAATATGCTTAGTAAATTTTTGTTTTTGCTTTATATTGCCGTATATTATATTACTAAAAAACTGGCGACTTTGTTTTTCAAATAAGTTCCTCCTGTCGCAGAAAATTGAAAAAATTGACATTGACTCAGCCATCAAATTGCGACTACCAGAAAACAAAACAATTTTTAAAAAGATGTTTAAATAACAATTCCACTTTCCGCTTTTTGTACATGAATAACATCTCTAGAAGACTTGAGAAGATCTTGAAAGTTTACTAGAGCATAAAATTCTGTCTCTGTTGATGCTAAATATTTTATATTCAGCATCGAATTTAGATGAGCACAAGTTTGCACAAATTGTTAGATGTCCGCAGGAAATCGCATGAGATCACAATTGGGTAGTGAAACAGCTTTCAATTTTTCGTCGATAGGAAAATTTATCGAAAAAACGAAGTTAACATTTTGGTAAAGCGAAAATTCCCTATTGCATAAACTTAGAATTGATGCTTTTAACCAGTGTTCTCATTCTTTAAAAACATTACGGAATATGGAAAATCTATACTATTAGAAAGTTTTCACTTGCAGTAATTCTACAAAGAAAAACTAGGATTGTACATTTGTTTGACTTTTGTGCGTACGTTATCTTTTGTATTGAATATTAGTGTCGGATAAAAATTCTAAGTTTATGTTTGTTTACTTAATAAATCTTGGTTACATTATACTTGATGATAACACAGAGTGGCTCAAAAGTAAGGAAATACAGTTGTTACAAAACCTTTATTAAAGCAACAGAACTAGAAAATGACACACACAAAAATACATATTTTTGAAGTTTTTTTTATAGTGAAACTTGTCACAAATATTGCACAATGTGTTAATCCTCTAAGTCTTTGTAAAGTTGGATCCTGTTAGAAACTGATTGATAAACTCATCAATATAACTTCACTGACAAGTTTAGTATACACTCAGATACTGATCAAATGCTGCATCTTTGATTTATACCACCGACTATATTCAATACAAATATGAAGTCTAACTGACCATCTACAAAGAAGAAATCAAAAAATTCAATGTTACCTTACTTTCAGGTCATCCTGTCTATATATACTATACTCTGATTTTTCTCTTTTGATATTGAGATCCAAATTTATAGAAGAGTGTTCGAGAATAAATACATAGTTGATTGATAACTTTTTTTCTATCGTATTAGATTTTCATTTTTTTTTTCTTCACCACTTGATTTATTCTGCTCAAAAGCATATATATCCTTTTGCGTCGATCTACTGTCGCATGAGTATAGAAGAATACGAATGTCAGTTAATACATTTTTTGTTGTGCATAATCGACTGAAAACAAATACGATTAAGTTGTGTTGTTTTAGTATTTAACTTCAGCGCAGTAATAATTTGTTTGCTGTCTTTTGAGGTTTGAGTTTAGAATGGAAGCAAAATATAATACTGAGATTGGATATGATTATGTTATTATTTGTCTGGGCAAAATAATCATAACAATCGAATATTTTAAATGGGCTCGACAATTAGTTTCATGTATCAATAAATCCGACAAGATCAAGGAACAAACATTACTCATTAAAATTGTAAATGATCAGCTGGCTATACTGGAATACTCAGAATCGTATAAGACAAGGCACAGATAAAGACTAATGAAATCAATGAAATATTGGTCACTTTACCTTTTCTCATTATATGCATATTGAGTTTGAAGCAATTGAATTGTTAAATTTTCTTATCAATTGTAATAGTTAGTAAGCATCTGAAAAAAAACAACTGCTCTAAACTTATGTGTGTCACTATCAGTATCTTATGCGAAGACTAGACATTCTCATTTGTTTACACTTCTTATTAATAATAAACATAGAATCTGTTTTCTATTGAATTTTTACTTTTGTTTTTGATGTGATAGCCGAAGGAATTTCAAATATTTAATCTAACATTTATACAAGTTCAAATGTCAAAGCTTTTATTTATCTTTGAAATCTTTTTTTCTATAAAAAGAATTATTTTGCAAGTCTTCGATCTATGAACTTAATATTAAAAGCAACAGATTCTATTCTAAATTGAACATTGAAAGAGAATTCATCAAAAAAAAGAAGACTATTTGGATGATGGATTCCAAATTTCAAAAAAAGGGTCCCACTCAGGATTTGTATGTGGTTCATATTCCATCGCATTAGCTAATTGTTTGGCAATATCCGATGAGAATACAGTAGCAATAAATGCATAAGTCATATCCATTCCAGCTGCTACGCCTGAACTTGACCAAATATTACCATCCACTACCCAACGTGCTTTCGGAACCCAATCAACAGCCTTATTAGTTATTGCAAATGACCAAGCCGCTTTGTTTGATGTTGCTTTTCGTCCATCGAGAATGCCAGCAGCTGCGACTAATATTGATCCAGTACATACAGAAAGTAAATATTTAAGTGTTGAATATCGTTTCTTAATAAATGAAGTAATTTCATTAAAAATGATTTCATCTCGTAGACCCAATCCACCTGGAACTAATAGTATATCTAATTTTGGTGCATTATCAAATGTATGTGTTGGTAACCATGCTTCACCAATACGACAAAATTTGCTTTCAGGTAATGTGTGTTTGGGTGGCTTCGTACTTACTGAATCCATCGTTTTGGCAATAATACTTAATTCGAATGGTTGTATATCACTAAGTTGATTGAAAAATTGCATTGGACCAGCAACATCTAGTAATGCAAAACCAGGAAAGATAACTACACCAAGTCGAGTTGTAGTCTCAGTCATATTTATCGATTAATATTTGCAATAGAACCACGTTGCTTTTCTGTTTTATATACCAAAATATTTTTTTTCTTTTCTTTCTTCCCAAGGCATGGGTAAGAAAGAAGCAACAAAACGATACATTTTTTTCTCTTTCACAGCTCGTACTAAGCTTTATCGCGAAACAAGAGGAAAAAAATTGTCTAGCGTACGAGCTATGATATTTGACTAGGAATTAATTGAAATCATAAACATGACTTGTTTGCGAGAATATTGTACAGAATGAAAGATAGAACGATTGATTATTTAGTCGTACAATAATCTGGACAAATGTGATTTCTATGACTCATTTTTATTTCATCGTTCTCTAGCACTACACTGTTCCTATCTTGTCATAAATAATGTAACTATCGGTTTTATCTTTCATCAAAAAAACTCAGTGAATAGACTCATTTTAATGTAACATTTTTTTTCTCTTAACCATATTGTTCTTATCCTATATTCCATATATATTTATAAAATGTATATCTTGGAAAGTTGCATATTCTTAAGTGTGTTTGGGATCTATGCAAAAAAAACTTAAAATATCTAGTATCATATATTTTTATCAGCAAGAATACCTCGTATATCACCTCATCAATAGCCAAATGCAACCACTATATAAACGTATCTTGATATTGAGGTGAAATAGATAAGATAAAGAACACACATTTTTTTTTGTGTCCACACTTCTTCTGGTATATAAATACGCATTGTAAGACATCAAACTAAGTATTGTCATTAAAATGATTGGCAACCGTTTCTTCGTAATCATTATTATTGTTGGTTTTTCATTTACGTATTTGGCTGCTGTTGATTCCAATTCGAAGAAGTATTCGAAAATTTCAAGTAGAACATGGAATCAAGCTATCGCCATGGCTAAATCATTTGTTGCACAATTAACATTAGAAGAAAAGTGCAACATGACATCTGGTATTGGAGGCCCATGTGTTGGTAATGTTTTACCTGTACCACGTCTGAATTTTAATGGACTCTGTTTCCAAGATTCACCATCTGGTGTTGGTGATGGAGTCTTACATTCAACTGCATTTGCATCTGGTATACATATTGCAGCTACTTGGGATCGAGATTTGTTCTATAAACGTGGTGTTGCAATAGGTAAAGAATTTCAAGGTAAAGGTGTCCATTTTGCATTGGGTCCAATGATGAATATTGATCGAAATGCTCGACACGGTCGCAATTGGGAAGGATTTGGTGCTGATCCATATCTTTCGGGAGAAAATTCATTCTATTATGTTCAAGGTCTTCAAGATCAAGGTGTTGTTGCAACTGCTAAACATTATATCTGTAATGAACAAGAAACCAATCGTTTCTATGGTACGCCTAGTATAATAAATCTATCAAGTCCAAGTAATTCTAAAGGTTATTCCGCCAATCTTGATGACAAGACAATACATGAAATTTATCTTTGGCCATTTGCGTCTAGTGTAGCTGCTGGTGTAGGCTCTGTTATGTGTTCGTATAATCAAATCAATGGAACACAAGCTTGTCAAAATGATAAAACATTAAATGGACTTTTAAAAGAAGAACTTCAATTTCCTGGCAATGTTATGTCTGATTGGGGTGCAACAAAAACTGGTATTGAATCCGTTTTAGGAGGTTTAGATGTAGATATGCCAGGTGGTGATGGACTAATGGGTTTTGCACTTGTACAAGCTGTTAAAAGTGGAGTAATTACAGAAGCAAGAATTAATGATATGATTACTCGAATTTTAGCACCTTATTATCTTCTCGAACAAGATCAAGGATATCCATCACTTGATTTAGATCGGGATGCTATTGGAAATAATTACAAAATTAATCGACAAGTTGGTACTGCAGGCATTGTTTTACTCAAAAACAACAACAATATTTTACCCTTTAATGTTACTACAGATAAATATTTTTTTATTTATGGAACAGCAGCAGGTCAATCTGATGAAGGTTTTAGTTCAGGTGGTTCAGAACAACATGCAGGTGCATTATATCAAGGTGGAGGTTCAGGTTTTGTTGACCCGACTTACGGCATTGATCCTCTTACTTCACTTTTGATGAAAGGTCGAGATGCACATCTTCAAATAAGATATATTACTAATCAAAATGATTATCATGCTATTAATGATTCATTCAATTATCGTGGCTTTGCTAGTGCAAAATGTCTTGTTTTCATTAGT